AAAAAATTTTGATTTTAAAAAAAAAAAAAAAAAAAAAAAGAAAGAAAGAAAGAAAAATAAATAAATTTACAGAGATAGACATTCCCATAAAAATGGAGATCACGCGATCGCCATGATTAAAATTCGCTACTCATTAAAAAAAATCAAAATTCTTCTCCAATCCGTATACGCACAAACCACACAGCAGATCCGAAGACTCACAATACCCAACAATCACGCACACAAAAACCAAAGATCAATCCTTTTCCCAAGAAATAAAAAAACATGATTCGAAGTCAAATCATCACCAATCAAACTAGAACAAAAACCACAAAACAGGAGAAAAATCAACAAAAAACATGTAATCCAATCACAACTCCAACAAATTCTCCCAAAAAAAAAAACAGACCTTAGGCCTCAGATCCGCAGAGTAATCGAATTTCCAATCGCGAAAGTACGGGAACGAGGGGGAACGGCTTCTGCCGAGAGGATCGAGGCAGTCGGAGCGCGAGGTCGTGCGGGAGGGCGATTCGGAGGCGTCCATGCCGGGGAACTGGTGGCGGTCGGGGGACCAGCGGGTGACGGGATCGTCGTTGAGGCCGCCGCGCCATTGGAGGATGAAGGCGAAGCAGGCGAGGGTGAGGGGGAGGACAGTGAGGAGGAAGAGCAGCCGCGAGGCGAACGCCAGGTACGACGGCGACGAAGAGGAGAGAGAAGACGAGGAGGAGGGTCTAATGGAAGAATGCAGACCCGCCATGGGAGGTTGCTTGGGAACAGAGAGAGAAGGGGAAAAGCTGGCGCATATAAATTATGAATATTTTTAGAGAGAGAAAGTGAGAGGGAGAGAGGGGAGTTGAAACTGAAGAAGAGTTTTGAAGAGGAACAGGGAAGAGAAAGCAGAAGGAAATGAAGGCCGTTTTATATCGTTGCTTTGTGTTATAGCCGGCATTGACTTCAAATTTAAAAAACAGAAAAAGAAATTGATTAATTTCGTAGATATTTTACATATTTACGTTTAACAAACTACCTCATTAACTTGTAATATTATTGTAATATATCTCATTTTAATAATAATTGTGTCAAATTGATGTTAAAAAATATATATTTGACGAAAAATTCTAACATTTTTAACACAATTTTTTTAATTTCTTAACTTTTATTCCTTAAATCTAATTAAAAAAGAAATATTTATATTTTTGTACCTTATATTTTAGATTTATTCAAAAACTATACTTCCGGTTTTTAATCTCATTAAACGTATACATTTAAATTAGATTTAATATACAAATCTATACCTTATTTCGGTCAACAATTGACTTTAGCCTTTAAAATGACCAAACTATTCATAAGAAAAAAAAAGAAAACTAAAACTTCCTAATATTACTGAAAATAAAAATAAATAAAAAAACACAAAAGAAAAACCATTTCAAAGTATTTTGAATATTTTTGAGGTCAAAATTGTAAGTTTAATTTTTTATATTTTTTTCATTTATCATTTTTTATTCAAGGGTATTTTAAATGTTAAAATGGAGAGTTGACCTTGGAAATGTAAATATTTGTGTATTAAATATAATTTAAGGGTATATAAGGTATGGTTTTTTAATAAACTAAAAACACATGGTATAAAATGGTAAATATCTCTTAAAAAATTGAGCAAATTTAGTAAAATAGTGCACATTGTAACAATTTTACTAGTATGGAGGATTAAATTATCAAAATTGAAAGTTTATGGTGTAATTTACTAAACCACGATAAATTCAGAATGTAATTGTACTAAAATCCCTTTCATAAATTACTCCGTAAACTTTGTACCTTGCTTTGTTATGCACTCAAATTTTAAAAAGATTTATTTTATTCTTAGATCATGTATCTTATTTTAAAATGTCTCATTCATTTATAAAACTAATTTATCTCCTAATATTTTAAAAAATCAAAGTAAATTAATACAAAATTAATAATTCAATAGGAATTTCAGAAATAGCATTAGTTCATATAGTGTTTTGAACCATTTTTCATTAATCAGAGGGCAAAATGAATCCATTTTAAAATTTGAGAATATGTTGAAAGTTGATGCATTTATAAAAAAAAAAGAATATAAATATATTTTAGAATACATGAGTCTATTTTTATCTTTTATTTAAGAAACTTTTATTATTTTATTAAATTTTAACAAGGGATGCAACATGAGAATTTCCAAGGAGATAAGAATATTCTAGAACTATTCTCGCCTAAACGCACGTCAATCATGGAGTTCTGACATGATCGGTGCATTTTTGTTGACATCATCGAACCCTTTGTCATTGTAAGTCTTTTCTAGAAAAAAAATGATATTGATAGGTCTTATTTACTTGCTAAAAAAACGTTATTTGGTTTGATATTGTGAGTAATGACGTATCCAAATTTGTACTTTTGAAATGGTAAGAAATCTTTGTTAATTAATTGATATGACACCAATTGTAATTCAATCATAAGAAGTCATTAAAGTCTCGTTCATTTCACTGATTTGAGTTTTGAATTTTAAGTTTTTACAGTAAAAAGCTCTCAGAAAATGTCACATCAAACTTTTTCTGTTACAGTGAAAAACTCTCAAAAAATGTCACATCTCAACTCGAATTAAAAACTCAAATTTGCGAAACGAAGGAGGCACAAGTGTGATGAACTATTTTTGGTTTTTTGGGTAGAATATGAAATCATACTAAGGTTTGTATAATCTATTATTATTATTATTATTATTACTATTTTACCTTCGGAGGAAAGTGTCCAATTGTTTTTTGACAGTCCGATTTGGAAGGGGCAGATTTGGAAATTAAATCAAGCATAGACATAATCCTTTTCAATATTGGAAAAAAAATATCGTTGGCAAATCATCATTTTATTCTTCTGACTTAATTACAGGATTTTTTACTCAAATATATATTGCTTACGGTTATACGTGAAGAATTACCTTTTAGTTACATCCTTTTCATATTATTAGTTTTGGGGATATGCTTTGTAGGTATTATCGTGTGTGTCACCCGAACAATCTAAAACTTATTTTGTTTTAAACTCATAGTAATAGAAGAGATTAAAAAATTATTAAATATACGTATTAATTTTCAATGATGCGCATTTAAAAACTTAGATTTAAAAAAATTGTATTAAAATGCGTGTTTCAATTTTAATGTATGTTTATATCGAATATTATATTTTCATACACAAACTCGAACATGCTAAAAGAAATATTTTGATACGAACAAATCAAATAGAAAATTAATTAGGGTGTATATATGAAAAAAATTGCCTAAGTACATATTCAAGCGTCGTTATTTCAATAGTTTTTAAATAAAAAACATATTTAAAAACAAATCACATAGAAAATTAATTAGGGTTTACGTATGGTTTTAAAAATATATGTGTGAAAAAAAGATCAAAATGAGAAGAAACATAAGTAAAGGTCAAACGTCTAAATAAGAAATAATTAAAGACCAAAGAACAAAACTAAGAAAAACGAAAAAAAAAAAAAAAAAAAAAAAAAAACGGGGAAAAAAAGGGGAAAGAAATGTTTCTTGCGTGTCAGCCTTAGAATCATTAGCGTTCTTCTCACGCTTTTAATATAGGTAGATATGCTTAAATTAAAGGAGTTTTTAAGGTAGTGTATCCTTAATATTAAAACTATATCAAACAAACCCAAAATATGATCCCTAGCAAAAAAATAATAATAATAATAAATATGAAAGATAAATAAAACTACAAAATATGATACATATATGAAAATTGAAAACAGAACCTTTTTGATAAAGGGCATTTTTTTTCATATTCTATTATAGAAATTCGTGTAGTTTTTATGTTTGAGTGAGAAAATCATTATTCAATCAATACTTTTTATGTTAAATTTGACAAATACTAGATTTTACTTTCCAGTTCAAAACAAGAGTTTGTATGTGTTAGAAAAAATTGGGAAATCTGACCTCCTAACTTATTTTAGGGCTCGTTCAGTTCGTTAATTTGAGTTTTTAATTCGAGTTGAGATATGATGTTATGTGAGAACTTTTTACTGTAACAAAAAAATTAGATATGACTGTTTCTGAGAGCTTTTTACTATAATAAAACTCAAATTTTAAACTCAAATAAGTAAAAAAAACGGGACGTCACTTCTATAGTTCTGTGTGATTATATAAGTTTCGTTCTTGTTAAAAAGTTGATATGTACTAAGGAAGGAAAGTGAGGAGATAAATCTTATAGTATTTAAATAATCATTAATATTTGGATATGTTTTACGAATTTCCCCCTCCGTTTCGCCGTTGTGTAATGAACTGAAATTTGTTGCTTTCCCGCGCGCGAAGTTCAATATCATTTATGTCAATATGCACCGAATTTTGAAATGCATATGTTCTGTAATAATACGCTTCTAAATTCAATACCTGAACTTTGAAACGTGTTATTTTACATATTATACGAGGTCAAATTTATCAATTTCTTTAAACCCTTAACTAATATAATTAAATTCAGGTAACATTTCATGGGTTAAATTTAGATAAATTATTATAAATTAAGGAGTGAAACTAGTGTATTTTAAAGTTTAAGCGACACGTTGATACATGTGATATAGTTCAAAGGGAATGCATAAAATTAATCCTAAATATTTTTACCTCTTTCGTAAGTGAGCATTCCTCTATATTTTCGATAGGGATTGAAATGAGTTACTTATAGGGAAAGTAGATAAATATCATTTAAAAGTGCATAAGTCAATATTTTTATTCTTTATTCTTGAAAAATATTCTTTTTAGCCAAATAACTATACTAACAAAAAAATATTAATCAAGAATGAGTAATAAAAATTTAGACTCATACATTTTTTAAAGATAAATTCTGCAATTTTCACGTTACTACACACTATTTGTGGATGTAGCTATATGGGCTTAGAAAAAGAAAATAACTCTTTAAACTTTTGTTCTCTTTCGGTAATTTTAGTCCCTGCCACTAAAATTATCAAAAGATTTCTTAAATTTAACAAGATAACTATGTGCCTATTGCTTTATAACTTAAATTTTACAAAGTTATTAAATGCAAAATGCTTTCTTCAATACTATGAAAAACTAGAAAATTTTCCACTTAAGTATTTATGTAAAATTTTCAGTTGTTAGGTTATATGGATGTGATTATTTATGACATATTTTAGAAATTCTTCGTTAATTTTAGTGTCAGAATTAAAACTATATAAAAATAATAATAATAGGGATAGCTTGCTAAAATAAAGAAGATAAGAGACTAGAGTATCACAGTACTTGTTAAGGTTAAATTTCGTTCCTCATTTTTCACTGTATATGTGTCATCATGCATCTCGGAGAATGGGATCAAATTATGAAATCGCTAGCCAAAACAGGCTTTGAGCAGTCAGCAACTTGCAAGGTCCCAGCGCTGCCCGAACGTCTATCAGCTCGCCAGATGAGCAGTCAAAAAGACATACCAGCTCAGCATCCGAGAATTAAGTACAAAGATCTCATCTCCAGCAAGAGTATTTTGTATTAAACTAAGGGATCACGTCCTAAAAATCAAAGGGGAAAGTTAATAATCCCACATGTTTACTCCCTCAGCATCATCCTTATAAGGAAAGATTTCCTAGAGGATCATCAATCAAAAGTCAAACGGGAAACTACCCAGAGGCTTATTTTCAGCCACTAAGAGCTTATAAATGCATACCATACGCGTCCCGCATTCCTACACACGCTTTCACCCCTGCAAGCATATTTACTTTCTTTTACATACTTTTCAGTAGTTGAGTAACCAGCAGTCAAGTGGCCAGCGACTGAACGAACAGCAGACCAGTGACCAACAACTCAAGAAATTAGGCACAAACAG